TCCTAGATTTGATAAATGAATTCAGTAAAGTTTCAAGATACACAATCAATGTACACAAATCAGTAGCACTGCTGTACACCAACAACAACCAAGCTGAGAATCAGATCAAGAATGCAATCCCTTCTGTAAGAGTTTCAAATAAATAAAATAAAAATCATAGGAATATACCTAACGAAGGAGATAAAAGATCTCTACAAGGAAAACTACCAAACAGTGCTGAAATAAATCACAGATAACACAAATAGAAACACTTCCCATACTCAGGAATGGGTAGAATCAATATCGTGAAAATGACCATACTGCCAAAAGCAATCTACAGATTCAATGCAATTCCCATAAAAATACCACCATCATTCTTCACAGAACTAGAAGAAACAATCCTAAAATTCATATGGAAACAAAAAAGAGCCTCTTTAGCCAAAGAAAGACTAAGCAAAAAGAACGTTATCTGACTTCAAACTCTGCTACAAGGCTATAGTTACCAAAACAGCATGGTACTGGTATAAAAATACGCATGTAGACCAATGGAACAGAATAAAGAACCCAGAAATAAAGCCAAATACTTACAGCCAACTGATCTTTGACAAATCAAACAAAAACATAAGGTGGGGAAAGGACGCCCTATTCAACAAATGGTGCAGGGATAATTGGCAAGCCACATGTAGAAAAATGAAACTGGATCCTCACCTCTCACCTTATAAAAAAATCAACTCAAGATAAATCAAAGGCTTAAATCTTTTTCTTTTTCTTGAGACAGAGTCTTGCTGTGTTGCCTAGGCTGGAATGCAATGACGCAATCTTGGTTCACTGCAAGCTCTGCCTCCTGGATTCAAGCAATTCTTGTGCCTCAGCCACTTAAATAGTTGGGATTACAGGCACACACCACCATGCCTGACTAATTTTTGTATTTTTAGTAGAGATGGGGGTTTTTGCCATGTTGGCCAGGCTGATCTCAAACTCCCTGCCTCAAGTGATCTGCCTGCCTCGGCCTCCCAGAGCGCTGGGTTTATAGGCATAAGCCATCATGCCGGCTCGAAGACTTAAATATAAGACCTGAAACCATAAAAATTTTAGAAGACAACATCTGAAAAACTCTTCTAGACATTGGCTTAAGCAGAGTTAATGACCAAAAATCCAAAAGCAAATGCAACAGAAATGAAAATAGATGGGACCTAATTAAACTAAAAAGCTTCCAGTGACAGAAATATTCAGCAAACAGACAACCCATAGATTGGGAGAAAATCTTTGCAATCTATACATCCAACAATACTATCCAGAAATTACAAGGAACTCAAACATATCAGCAAGAAAATACAATTCCAGGCTGGGCATAGTGGCTCATGCTTGTAATCCCAGCACTTTGGGAGGCTGAGGTGGGCAGATCACCTGAGGTCAGGAGTTCAAGACGGCCTGGCCAATGTGGTGAAACCCTGTCTCTACTAAAAATACAAAAATTAGCTGGGCATGGTGGTGCATGCCTGTAATCCCAGCTACTCAGGAAGCTGAGGCAGGAGAATCACTTGAACGCAGGAGGTAGAGGTTGCAGTGAGCCAAGATCACGCCACTTCACTCCAGCCTGGTGACAGAACAAGACTCTTGTCTCAAAAAAACAAACAACAAAAAACAACAAACAATCCCATCAAAAAGTGGGCAAAGGATATGAATAATTTTCAAAATAAGATATACAAATGAAAAAATGCTCAACATCACTAATTAGCAGGGAAATGTAAATTAAAACCACAATGAGATACTGCCTTATTCCTGCAAGAATGGTCATAATTTAAAAATTTTAAAAAAAAATAGACCTTGGCATGGATGTGGTAAAAAGGCAACACGTTTACACTGTTGGTGGGAATGTAAACTAGTATAACCACTATGGAAAACAGTATGAAAATACCTTCAAGAATTAAAAGTAAAGCTACTATTTCATCCAGCAATCCCACTACTGGGTATATACCTAGAGAAAAAGAAGTCATTATATGAAAAAGACACTTGCACACGCATGTTTATAGCAGCACAATATGCAACTGCAAAAATATGGAACCAGCTTAAATGCTTGTCAACCAACAAGTGGATAAAGAACATGCGATATATTTATATACCATGGAATGCTACTCAGTCATAACAAAGAATGAAATAATGGCATTTGCAGCAACCTGGATGGAGTTAGAGACCATTATTCTAAGTGAAGTAACTCAGGAATAGAAAACCAAATATCATATGTTCTCACTTACAAGTGGGAGCTAAGCTATGAAGATGCAAAGGCACAAGAATGATACAATGGACTTTGGGGACTCTGGGGAAAGGTGGGAGCAGGGATGAGGGACAAAAGACTACACACTGGGTACAATGTACACAGCTCAGGTGATCAGTGCACCAAAATCTCAGAAATCACCACTAAAGAACTTATTCATGTAACCAAAACCACCTGTTACCCCAAAACTATGGACATAAAATTTTAAAAATAAATAAAATATATTCTAGGAAAATAAAGATGAAATCCAAAAAGAAATAAGAAGGCTGGGTGTGGTGGTTCACGCCTGTAATCCCAGCATTTTGGAAGGCAGAGGTGGGCGGATCACCAGGTCAGCAGATCGAGACCATCCTGGCTAACATGGTGAAACCCCATCTCTACTAAAAATACCAAAAAAATTTAGCCGGGCTTGGTGGCGGATGCCCGTAGTCCCAGAAGAATGGTGTGAACCCTTGAGGCTGAGCTTGCAGTGAACCGAGATTGCGCCACTGCACTCCAGGCTGGGCAACAGAGGAGGACTCCGTCTCAAAAAAAAAAAAAAGAAAGAAAGAAGAAGACAGCAGATACTAGAATCTGAGGAACTGAGCCAAGGAATGGAATAACAACATAAAAGGAGACTTATAGTAACAGGTCAAATTTAGAACAAAAAGTCACTGGGTTTCATGAACAGTTCCTCCAAGAAGACTGGAATGGAAGACAGCATGAGTAAAAATCTTGATCATTTTCACATATGATAAGAAAGTTACATGCTTCTTTTTTGGAGGCTGCAGATCTCAGTGACAATAAGCATGAATCAAACTGCTGGGTTCTTCCTGGTTCTTATACATTGATCTCAGGCAATTTGCTTATCTTCCTTGTGCCTCTTTTTTCTCAGGGATAATAGTATTTACGTCATTGGGTTGTTGAGGATGTAATCTTTCTTTGAACAGTGCTTGAGGCACATATGCAATTACATGTTTGCTATTATTATCATCATTTCCCACAAGAAAAAAGAAAGGCCATCACAAATTCCAAAAAAACCCATAAAAGTGTACTAGACAGTTAAGGTCTAAATATGAGGGAAACTAAAACATGGCATTGTTTTAGTAATAGTGAAAAAAGAGTCCATTGTTGTTAAATTGTACCCACTGAGAAGAAAGGTAATCCAAGCACATTACTTTGTTCTGTAATGATTATTACAGAGACATTACTATAATGTAAATGAAATGATTATTTATATTATCATAATAATATAAATGCTGTTAATAGTATTTTGAGTTTTAGAATTAACCTACAAACAAAACATAAAGGCTTAATCAGCAGTCAAAGCTGAATATAATAGTTCACCTAAAAAATGTAAAAGTAAATATATACTTGACCTAGAGAAGAAGTGTGGAAGAGAGTTGGAAGACAGGATAAAACTGTTAAGATCTTCATCGTATATAAAGGGGAATCAGGAGTTAGTGATTAAAAATGATGGGGAAAAAAGTTAGATATATTATTTCAAGTTGCAAAAATTAACAACAGAAGAAACAAAAAAAGTAACTATAAAAGATCAGAAGAGGAAAGTGGAGAGAGGCAGTTTGTAGAGTGGTATAAACAATCTTTGTTACTGATTTTCAATAGATAATGTTTAAAGTTGATAAATTAAAATCAGCAGTAGAAACTCATTCTTTAGAAATATGGAGTTAATCTTATAAGGTACTGAAACCCAAAAACGTTAAACGTGGTTGCCTCTGAAAAAAGGAAATTAGAAAAGGAAGCAGAGAATGAAAGGGCTGTGTGTTCTTATTAGTGTTTCTCTACTATTTGCTTCTAAAATATCACATAGATATTTTTATTTTTAAAAAATTAAAATTTTACAATTTTTACATAAGATGCTAGTAAATGTATTATGATGAGTAACCTGACTGTGATGTTATGTTGTAATATGTATCTTGGGAGACTTTTATTAACCATGAACCTAAATAAAACATGAAATTAAATAAACCCTGTAGACGAAGATAAAACTGATAATCCTTTTAATATTTGTTAAAATATAAAATGTAGGAATATGCAACAAAATTTGTTATTAATTATGTCCCTAAGTCTGTATTTCTCCATATTTCTTTATACATTATATATATGTATACATAAAATACAAAAATTAATACCTAAGAGACTCTCTAAAGTGACTTTCCCTTGCTAATTCTCTGGTTTAATTTATCTCTCTAGTTTCCTAGATAAAAACTACTGAATGATGTCCAAGGCACTCTCAATGCTCAAAGCTAGTCACTCCAGCATGCCCATGAACTTCTGCTCAGTGATTATCAAGAGTCAGTAGTGTTGGTTCCAAATCTGTTTGTGGTAGTTGCTGTTGCAATTATGTAATTTGCATAGCATGCTCAAAACAAGCAAAACAAGCTTTTGGTTACACATTAAAAGATTAACAAATGACATATATTTTTATTTGATAAATTTGAATGTTTAAGTTATACATGTATGATTTTTATGATGCTCTGTCTTAACTGACTTTATAAGTGCTAGTCCTTATCATATTCAATAATCTCTACTGTATTGAAATATCTCCAACAAAGAATATATTATCTTCTCTAATGTCTCCATACATAAAGTTTTACGTAATATCAAAGATGAAATCAGTTTAACATTTGATCATTTTGAATCCTAAAATTCACTTGAATTTGGGATTTGTAGGAGCATATATAAAATTATTAGGACTAATTTGAATTTCTATTAAGTATTTATGGAGTATACAAATTACACCTACCTCAGTTGTATCCTTAAGATAAAGATAGGGTCTAATAGATCTTGATTTTAGATGTTCTTCTACTGGCTCTAAAGAAACAAACTCAAACATAAGTATTTCCATGCTATTGTTACTTCTAATTAAACCCAATCAACCATTGTCTCCACTGCAGTAAACTTTTAAGAAATGTAAATGAGTAATTTTATTTGCTTACATATGCATTGCTTGTACATGGTTAGAGCTAAATCTATTTTAGAATAATTTGCCCTAAAAGTGAATTTCTATTAACAGACTATAACTTTCAATTATTTACTATTTTTACAACTATTAACTGTTTATACAATAAAGCTATATTCTATTGGAAAATGATGGATTTCTAAATAAAACAGAATCATATGTGTTATTCAAAAAATATTTTGGCTAATTCCTTTGAAAAGAGAAATAGAAATAGTCTCTTCTACCTGCATTTCTCTCATATTCAGTTATGAGTTTTGTTAATCTGAATTATCATCCAATGAATATCCTTAAAGTAAGTATGGTGCAGGGGTCAGTCATACAGACTTTGGACTTAGATAGCCTGGGTCCAAATTACACCTTTTTGTGTGAGTTACATAGCCATAGCCATAGGAAAGTTACTTAACATCTATGAGTCTTACTTTCCTCATTTGTTAACTGGAAACAATAGCACTTATAGAAATACTTTCAGAGTTAAATGAGATAATCGATGTAACAAATTTAATACGGAGTCTGGTAGTCATTCAATCAATAGTTATTTGTTGATCAACTACTATAAGCTAGGCACTGATGGACTCTGGAATTGTGACTCCTGCCCAATGATGCTAGTAAATGTATTATGATGAGTAACCTGACTGTGATGTTATGTTGTAATATATATCTTGGGAGATTTTTAGTGGGTAATATGGAAGATTAAAAAAAAACAAAAAACAAAAAAAAACAAGATGTTGGACTGGTGAAGTGACTTACACCTATAACCCCAGCATTTTGGGAGGCCAGGCCAGGTGCATCACTGGAGCGCAGGAGTTCGAGACTAGCCTGGGCAACATGGTGAAACCCTGTCTCTAAAAAAAAAGTACAAAAATTAGCTGAGTGTGGTGGTGTGCCTGTAGTCTCAGCTACTCAAGAGGCTGAGGTGGAAGGATTACTGAGCCCAGGGAGGTTGAAGCTGCAGTGAGCTGTGATCACACCGCTGCATTCCAGTCTGGGCAACAGAGTGAGACCCTGTCAGGAAAAGAAAACCAACAAAAAAACCAAAGGGTGAATAATTGAAATTTATTCCGTAACAAAAATAAACACATTTTGGTGAGGGAGAACCATAAAAAAGGTATATTGTTGATAGGGTAGTCAGAGGAGGCCTCTCTGAACAGATGACATTTAACCAAAATATGCAAATGAGCTGTAAGCAGCATGAATAGAGTATCAGAGTGTTTAGGCAGAGGGGAAAATATATATTCCTCTCAGGAAATCTGGCAGTTGTACTGAAAAGAGGCTAATTGAGTTGCAATTTATTTATTTTGAGATGGAGTCTTGCTCTGTCGCCCAGCTGGAGTGCAGTGGCACCATCTCGGTTCACTGCAGCCTCCACCTCCTGGCTTCTAGTGATTCTCATGCCTCAGCCTCCCAAGTAGCTGGGATTACAAGCGTGCACCACCACACCTGGCTAATTTTTGTATTTTTAGTAGAGATGGGGTTTCACCATGTTGGCCAGGCTGGTCTCAAACTCCTGACCTCAAGTGATCTGCCTATCTTGACCTCCCAAAGGTCTGGGACTACAGGTGTGAACCATCCCACCTGGTTGAAGATGCAATTTAAATGAAGGCCAGGGAGGTAAGGAATGAGGTTGAATACACACACAAAAGTCACAATAGACAGGTCTTTGTTCTTTTTTTTTTTTTTTAGATGGAGTTTCACTCTTGTTGCCCAGGCTAGAGTGCAATGGTGCAATCTCAGCTCACTGCAACCTCTGCCTCCCTGGTTCAAGGGATTCTCCTACCTCAGCCTCTCAAGTAGCTGGGATGACAGGCATGTACGATCATGCCCAGCTAATTTTGTATTTTTAGTAGAAACAGGGTTTTGCCATGTTGGTCAGGCTGGTCTCAAATTCTTGACCTCAAGTGATCCACTTGCCTTGGCTTCCCAAAGTGCTGGGATTACAGCCATGAGCCACTGTGCTCAGCCAGGCCTTTGTAAGGAGTACAAGTTTCATACTAAGTACAGTGAGAAGCCACTGAAGAGGCTTTAATCAGGATCAGCCTACTTTTAAAAGATCTCTATATGATTTAAGGAAAGAAAATGGATTAGAGATTTCTGCTACCATTATGGAAGGCCAGGTAATTAGTACCAGCCCTCCTGCTGCAACATCTTAAAAGGCTAGATGGACTATTTTTTAAAGTCTAAAGAGAATCATAGACTTCAAAGATGATAAGGGACCTCTTGTCTTAAATCTAGGAGAAGATAAGAACTCAGATAGGTAAGCCCAACATGCCAAGCCACTTTTTCCCTGAGGGTATTTGTGATGTGAAAGTAAGATCAAGTTTTGGAAGCTTCATGGCTTGAGATAGAAAAAAACAAAAAGCTGGCCAAAGGTCCAAAGTTTTGATATTTAATATGTTCTCCACTTTCCTTCCTCCACAAAAAAAACTCCACACCTATTCATTTTACCTGGGATCCAAAAGGGTTACATCCTTAGGGTGAACTAGAATAGTTAAGCTTGCCACCTGGATGTTTTAGGGAAAGTAACGCCTTGAATGCTTTGGTATGTTCTGACAAGTACTGCCTCCAGATACCTGGCATAAACAGTAAAAAAAAAAAAGAAAAAGAAAAAAGAAAAAAAGTCTTTTCTGGAGTAAGGTACCATCACCCTAGTTCTCAAATTGCTCCTATAGATAATTTTCCAAATAGTGTCCAGCACACATTCAAAGATAATGAGACACATAAGGAAATATGACATCATGAAAGTGAATCATGAGAAGTAAAATAACAGTGTGTATAACAAATTCTTTGAGAAATCAGGTTATGAAGCACAATAGAAAAATTAAGCAATATGGGGTGATGTGGAGTCAACAAACCTCAGTTAAGAAGGTTGATGAGAATCATGCAATGGAATGATTGATAATGCCAGAGAAAGACAAAAACTAAGGCAACACGAAATGTTCAAATTCTCTGAGAACTGATAATGCTGATTCCTAGCTCACAGATTCCTAAAATTTTTTTTTTTTTGAGACAGAGTCTCGCTCTTGTCACCTAGGCTGGAGTGCAGTGGCATGATAGCTCACTGCAACCTCTGCCTCCTGGGGTTCAAGCGATTCTTCTGCCTCAGCCTCCTGAGTAGCTGGGATTACAGGTATGTGCCACCACACCAGGCTAATTTTTTTACTTTTGGTAGAGATGGGGTTTTGCCATGTTGGCCAGGCTGGTCTCGAACTCCTGACCTCAGGTGATCTACCCGCCTCTGCCTCCCAAAGTGCTGGGATTACAGGCGTGAGCCACTGCGTCCACTCGGCCAGATTCCTAAAATTTCTAACCTGAAAGTAAGTTTCTATTAAGCAAGCTGGTCATACTTGACTTTTAAAAAACAATAACAAGGAAATTCTCAGTATTGAGCTGAAAGGAAACTCAGAGATTTTGTTTCTAGAAGAAAAAAACACATAACCCTATAAACATAAAAATATATTCCTATTTTGTGAATTGTATAAATTGTCCATTCTGATATTTAACATCTCTTCTTACTAAATTCTTTTTTATAGTTCATGGAAATGCTTTTGACAGAGACATCAAATTATCAAGAACTTTTAAGACACACATCAATAAAGTAAATAAAGCACCCATTAATAAATCAAAGAAGTAAATATGTTACACAAAGCATTACCTGTTGACTCACTTTCTTTATTTTTTATATTTGTTTGAACAAAGAATGGTCTTAAATTTGACTTTTCAAAATTACTCTTTCTAGGTTCAGGCTCACATTTGAAAGACGCACGCCTGGAAGAAATAAAAATTAATTTAAATTAATGAGAAAATTTACAAAATAAATCTAATAAATAAATTTGGAGAAATGTGGTGAAGTCCTAGTTACACAGACTTGGATGTTATGTTAATGTTATCATAGTACAAAGTGCAAAACATTGGACTGCTTAAATAGGAGCTGAAAATATTAGTTTTAGTCATTTAAAGTAGAGGGGGATATAATCCAGTCCCACACTGTAACTGTTGTCTGTAGGCCGACGTCCCAGATTTACAGTCCGGACTCTAACCTCTTCTCTGAACTTCAGATTTACATATCCAACTGCCCACATGACTCCTGCACTTAGCTTAATTGTAAGTATCTCGAACTTAACATATTCAAAACCAAATTCTTGATTCCACCCCCTTCCTGATCTTCTCCTCACCCAGGTTTCCCCATCTCCGGTCAACCAGAGGCTTAGGCCAAAAAGTCTGCAGACATCTTTTATTTCCTTTTCTTTTTCCACTCCCAACCTATCAGCAAATATTACTGTGTCTTTCTTTGAAATAGATTCCAAATCCAAACACCTCTTTCCTCATTGCTCCCATCCAAGTCCAAGACCCCTTTTTCATCTGAACTGCTTCCATATATGTCTCTAGCCTTCTTCTGTTTGCTTTCCCTGCTATTATGCTTGTCCTCAACATTCTCTTCGCAATACAGCCATAGCAAGACTTGTAAAATATAAATGTGACTATCATTTCCTTCAACTGTTTCCTATCAAACTTGAGTAAAATTCAAAATGCTCCCTAACAGACAGAAACTTTTCCCCCAGTTCTCATTTCTGAGTAGCAGAATTTCCACTGATTGCCACTCCAGGCCCCTCTCTGCATACCCCTTCACCTCTCACCTCCACATGAACGCTGAGCAAGTTTTCTAGCTGTTTGGTTCAGGGAAAGGAATTTAGGCTCCACTTAAGGACTTTGCTCTTTCCTCTGCCTGTAGTATTCTCTCCACAAGGGGTTGACGTGGCCTACTCCTTCATTTCAGTCTCTACTCACATTTCCACCTCAGAAAGATCTTTCCAGCCCATCCCACTTCCCCCATCTAAAATAGTAACCCCTGTTCCTCTACAGCATTCATCACTGGTGAATTTACATTATATATTCATTTGTTTATTTAATTTATTATCTGTCTCCCCACCTTATCCTAGATTGTAAACTCTGAGGGCAGACTACTTATGTGTTTTATTCACTGTGGTATTTTAGCACCTATAACATGACTGGTACATAGCACATGTTTAATATTCATTGAATGCCTAATAGGCCGGGTGCAGTGGCTAATGCCTATAATCCCAACACTTTGAGAGGCTGAGGCAGGTGGATCAACTGAGGTCAGGAGTTCGAGACCAGCCTGGCTAACATGGCAAAACCCCATCTCTAGTAAAAATACAAAAATTAGCCGGGTGTGGTGGCATGTGCCTGTAGTTCCAGCTACTGAGGAGGCTGAGGCAGGAGAATTGCTTGAATGCAGAAGGCAGAGGCTGCAGTGAGCTGAGATAGTGCCACTGCACTCCAGCCTGGGTGACAGAGAGAGATTTTGTCTCAAAAGAAAAAAAATAATTATTGAATGCATAGGATTTTTGGTAAATTTTTATTGAACTTTCTTATCATCTTATACTTTCCAATGGGTTTTCAGTTTATTCTCTCTTTTAATAAATAATTATGTAATCTTCATAAAATAATTTATGTGTTCCTTCAAAAAAATGTATCTTATGTTCTTATTTAATATCATTGGGGAGGACTTCTAGAAGAGGGTAGTATACTAGTGAGAATGGGCATTGTTCTGTTTCTAACTTGAATGAGAATGAGTCAAGGGTTTCTAAGGATGATGCTGGCTATACAGTCTTGTTAAGGAGGTAATATTTTATCTTTATCTTAAAATACTTATGTTGCTAAAGTATTTTTTTCAAACTCATTTGCAAAGTATATAAAGATATTCACATATGAATTTCCTTGTGGTAAACCAAAGAGCATAGGCTTTGAAGTTAGACCTTACTTTGCATCTTGACTCTATGTGAACTTCCATAGAATATTGAATACTATGAATCTCAGTCCTTCATATGTCAAATAAGGCTAATAGTTACCTCAAGGGATTGTTGTAAGAATTATGTAAAATAAAGTTTAGAAAGTGATCAACAAAATGTCATAGAGATAAATGAGGATACTGATTCTTATTCCTGAAATTTACTCCACTTAGTCATAGTGGAGTAATATTTATTTAACATAGTTTTGGATTTCATGTTGTTAAAATAAGTTGTTGAGTGGCAATTATTCCGTTGCCTTAGAATTGGTGACCAGGTGACTTTTTACTCCATAGCTGAGTAAAAAGGAGCAATACATACTCTATATTCTACAAAGATCCACGAATACTTGGAGCAAGAGATTCTTTTAGGCCTTCAAATAAAAGAAAACTGGTGAGGGAAAAAAGAAAAATATCAGAATTGTAAGTCATTGACCTGTTAGGGTCTGCTGTGGCTTTTTCCTCTTTTCTCTGCACATCTGTTAGACACCACACTTGCTGATTTGCCCCAGGTCAAATTTGGAGCAGGTGAAATCAAGCAGGTAAAGCAGGCACCCTGCACTACACTGTTTGGCATGGCCAGGATATTTGAGTTTCTGAGGAAATGCTATGGACTGAATGTTTGTGTCCCCCTCAAATTCAAATGCTGAAGCTTAAATCTCTAATGTTATGGTATTTGGAAGTGGGAGCTTTGGGAGATAATTAGGTTATGAGAGTATAGCCTCATGAAAAGGATTTGTGTTCTTCTAAGAAGAGTTGGTCTAACTCCTTCTCCCTCTCTCTCTCTATCTGCCTTTCTGTCTATCTCCTCATGACGTGAACATACAAAGAAACAGCCGTCTGCAAACCAGGAAGAATACCCTCACCAGACACCCAATCTGCTGGAACTTTGATCTGCACTTCCTGGTCTCAAGAACTGTGAGAAATAAATTTCTGTTGTTTAAGCCACCCAGGCTATGGTGTGCTATTGTAGCAGCCCATACTAAGACAGAAATTAGTAATGAGCAGTGGGGTGCTGTTGTAACAAATACTTGAAAATGTGGCAGTGGCTTTGGAATTGGTTAATGGGTAGAGGCTGGAAGAGTTTGGAAGTACATGCTAGAAAATGCTGACATTGCCAAGAAGGAGATATTAAAGGTGACTTTGGTGAGGGCTCAAAAAGAAAAGAGAAAAACTTCCATTTTCTTAGAGAATACATAAGTAATTATGAATAAAATTTTGGTAGAAATATGGATGGTAAGGGCCATTCTGATGAGATCTCAGACGGAAGTAAAGAACATGTTATTGGAAACTTGAGGAAAGGTGGTCCTTGTTATAAAATGGCAAATAACTTGGCTTGTGTTTGTGTTTTAGTATTTTGCAGAATGTAGAAATTGCAGGCAATGAAATTGGATAGTTAGCTGAGGTTAGTTCTAAGCAAAGTGTTGAGGAGTGACTTGGTTCCTACTGATATTTATAGTAAAATGCAAGAGGAGAGAAATTAATTGAAGATGAAATTGTTAAGGAAAAAGGAACCAGAAATTAAAGATTTGAAAAATTTTCAGTCTGCCCATATTACAAAAAATGAAAAAGTATGCTTGGGAGAGAACACTAAAGGTATGGTAAGTTGACCATTTGCTAGGTAGGTCAGTGTGGATGTGTACCAGGGACCAAATCAGCCATCTCAACAGAAGCCAGGAATAGAGATAGGATTATACCAGCAGAAACACTGCCAGCTGGGACTAAGGGAAACAGAGAAAGTGGGACAAAATGAAAGAAGACTGTTGCACTTCTTAAGATTCTACAGGACCAGACCATACAGCTATTGTATGCAGCTGTTCAGCTATAAATGTACACTGTTTTTCAAGACAAGGGAAGAAGGACCTCAAAAGCAATTCAAAGATGATCAGGGTTGCCACTCCCACAACAGGCCCAGAGGGCATGCACTCAGGGGACAGGGCTGCCTCCATTTCTGTTTCAAAGGGTAAGATCCCTGCCCAGTGGGGCCATGGGTGTGCAACTCCCACCAAACAGAGCTTCAGAGGCGAGACCACTGCCTGAGTGGGTTCTGGAGGCAGCACTACTAGTCTACTGAATCTAGAAGGCAGAGCTTTAAGCCAAAGAGGATTATTCTCAAACCTTAGGATCTCATAGAGTTTGCCTTGCATGGTTTTAGAATTACTTGGAACCTGTCATTTCTCCCTTCTTTCTTATCTCTCCCTTTTGGAATGAGAATGTCTATCCTACACCCATCCCATCAATGTAGCTTGGAAACATCCAACTTGTTTGCTTTCACAGGTTCACAATTGAAGAGAAATTTTGCCTCAGGATACTGTTACCTCAGGTCTCATCCATATCTGATTTAGATGATACTTAGATGAGAGTTTGGACTTAAGAGTTGATGGTGAACCAGTTAAGACTTTTGGGTCTATTGGGATGGGATGAATGTATTTTTCTTGTGAGAAAGATATAAATTTGGAGGGGACAGGGGTGGAATTCTACAGACTGAATATCTGTATCCCCTTCAAATTCATATATTAAAGTCTAAATCCCCAAAGTTATGGTTTTTGGGAGGTGCGGCCTTTAAGAGGTAATTAGGTCATGAGGGTGTAGCCTCATGAATGGGATTAGTGCCCTTACAAGACATGAGAGAGGTGCTCTCTCTCCCTCTCTTTCTTGCTGCCATATGAAGATACAATAAGAAGACAGCTGTCTGCAAAGCAGGAAGAGTGTCCTCACCAGACACTGATCTTGGACTTCCTAGCCTTTAGAACTATGACAAATAAATTTCTGTTATTTAAACCACGCAGAGTAAGGTATTCTTTATAGCAGCTTGAACTGACTAATATAGGAGGTCAAATGGATACTGAGATAGTAACTGTGTTTGGGTCATTTTGCTGATACTCCACCCAGATTGCTGACTGCAAGCTTGGGGATCCTTTGCAGAAGAAATTGTGGCATATATTGGAGAGTATATGAG